TTGCACTGTGCATCACTTGCTTTGTGTATTATTATTATTATTATTTTATTTCAATTATTAAACTGTTTTTATCTCAACCCATGAGTTTTTCTCACTTGTGCTCTTCCAATTCTCTCCCCCATCCCACCGGGTGAGGGGGAGTGAGCGAGCGGCTGCGTGGTGCTTAGTTGCTGACTGAGGTTAAACCACGACAGTCCTTTTTGGCGCCCAACGTGGGGCTGTGTTTCCACTCCTGGGGCAGTCACTTCCAGGTGTACTGGACGCCCCTCCAAGTGAAAGCAAACTGTGGCCTGCACTCTGCTGCCAAAGGGATTGAGAAAAACTCGTGGGTTGAGATAAAAACACCCGGGCAACTAACAGGACTTCTTGGTTTTTCTTCACCTTTAACCAGATAAGCTACACAGGCACCATTCTAGTTGAATGGTTAGAACTCAGTCTGCATTCTTCTGCTTGTGACAGTTGAACACGTTTCTTAGAAGAAAAACTAAAAAATTGGAGCAGTGCCTTCACTGACTTGAGTGTATTTCTCCCAGACTTAAGTTTGCAGTTATTTTTGAGAGTCGTTTCCTAAATGTGGTTCTACTTGTTCTAGTTGGGTCACTAATAGCTAATGTCGGTCGCTTTCTTAGGCAGGCAGGAATTTTGTCATTAAAACCAGCTCAAGATAATGGAAAGGCTCAAATGGTAGAATTTGTTCTTTTGACTAGCTCGGGAGGAATTAGGTTCAGCTGTTTGACGGGTGCAAGCAGTTAAATTGACCTCAGACTATGGCTGTCGTGCTTTTTTTATGAAGTCTGTCAGGAACTTTGGTTGGCAGTAACAACTTCCTGGGGAGAGTTACTTATCTTCAATTACACAGGTCTTTCTTGTATAACCTGCCACTTTTAATGCTATTAATATGTCTATACTGCACTAATGCTGCTCCCTTTTCAGAGCTGAGGAGTTCTGTGATGCTGTTATGGCACTTCGCCAACTGCTTGACTGAACTTAGCTAAATAAAAGACCCTGGGATCCTCTCTAAGAATAAACATCATGTGAGAGCATGAGTGTTTCCCTGCTTTGAGAGAATTAAAATGGCGTGCTGGTAGGGAAGAACAGCAGCAGCTTAAGGGCTAGGCTGGCATCTCTCTCTGGCTAAAAGGGATAGGCTACAAGTCCAGAGGAAGCAGAAGGGTCTGGCATGTA